AAAGGCCACTTCGTCTACGAGTCGTTCGTATAATATGCTTATTGCACGACATGCGCACTACTTGACTGCTTGTAAGATTAGAAACTGTTCATTTGCAACGATTTTTTCTTGTTTACTAGTCTTTGATTTGATTGGATATGTAATCGTTAGTAGTACACATTTCGACAGTTTGTCGAGATACAAAAGGTTATAGTGAGGAGTTACCAGTAAAGGTGTCGTCGGTTGTCGCGCATAGTGTGCAGACTCACACATTAGGTTACAAATGACTCAAGGATACTTTTGCAAAATTATAGAGAACATAGGCTTCGAAAAAGTGTAAGAAGCGTGTTTTTATTATTATTGAAATAATCTGAGTCCTTCTGCCATACCTTGGTCCCGTGGAGGGCTCATTACTCAAAATAAATTCGTCAGAGGGTAGAAACAAAACGGACGATCTTTTCAATTTGAAAATTCTAACTTGGCATTCACATTATCAAAGCTCATGCGTTTTGAAATAGTCTTGTAAGAAACCAGAACCTCAAGAGGCAAAAAAATTCGCTAATCCTTGCAAAATCATGGATCTAAATTGAAAATCATTATAGTTTATCGTAATCTTACAACCAATCTATCTATATTCATTGACTTTCCTACGCAAAGCCTTTTGATCGATGTTTCGTGCAAATTTTGACACTTTGCTCAAAAGTTGCCTGTTTGAGAGTAATTATCGAATACAGCTTTTTTGCTGGATAGGAAAAAAGTCAACTTCAGGCTTTAGGGCGCCTTTAAGAAATGGTAGTTTATGATGACAGCTTGAATGCTATATCCAAGAATTCGGGGGGAGGGGGCATTAGTGCGATTGTGGAATATGGAAACAACCGGAAAATAGTGAACATGTTCATGGGAAAAATTTGCAAGTAAGAAGAATGGAGTTGAAGGCAAAAATAAGCTCTTCAAATTCGCTGAGAAAGAGAGAATGATAAAGTTTTTACGGCATGTAAAGTTTGTTTCTAACCAGTGTAGGAGAAATTCTGGAGAGGCGGGAAAGAAGGAGAAAACGCAGGCAGGGTCTTGACAAGAAAGCGAGCGCGACACCTGCGCGAACCGTTGCGTTGCGGACGCGAGCGGTTATAAATTCCGTCTAAACCGAACTGAAACAGAGTATATTCGGCGATGGTGCACGACCGCGGCTGTCGAAAAATTTTAGTTTTCTGTTTTCAAAAAATTTACAAATTACTTATTGATTTACTCTCTTACCCACCTTCACATTCTAACGACAATGCTTCATCGGTACGCTTTCGGCAGACGCAGCAAAACTTCCGCTTGATCAAGCCTGGCTGCGACCACGTATGAGCAACCGGATTCTGAAAACCGCAGTTGCAGTCGCAATTGCGTACCTAACAGCTTTGGTACAGTACACCTTACCTTGATAAGTTGCAATGCTACCCCGCTACAGTAGGAAACGACGGTTTTCAGGCATTTCTCGTGGCACACAAAGTTGCAGACTAAATAACGGATAGCTACGATTTTTAATTTTTTCAAAATGCATTATTTTGTGAAAACGCTTACCTTCGCAAGCGTATCCTTGCGTTAGCATACCCCATATTTTATCGCAACAATGGTGACAGTACGTCGGCTTGCCAAATGTCTTTTTCGAGAAGTAATGGCCGTGATCGCGACCTATACTCAAAAGGTTCGCATCGACGTTATGGCCCTCCGCCGTCATCGAGCCGTCTCTCTGCAATTGCAGACAAAGTTCAAGAACACTATATTGCGCAAAAAGAGATTTTATAGCAAGGCAGAATTATTCTTACTTTATGGACTAGTAAACCAATAATGTTAGAGGTGCTAGATTTGCATCCGCGCGCTTCGAGACCGCGCTGCAGTTCCAACTATTTGATGTTTTTTTTT